CGTCTAGAGTTGCGTAGGAATGAGAGGTTTTTGTCGAAGTATAACATCTTGGCACGATGATGAACCCCCCCCCCCCCTGGGTTGGCATTTCTTTTGTTAAGTGAAACAGTGCCTGCGAGTTCCCGAACGCTGATGTCGTCTCTGGCAGGCGTAGGAAGGACTGTCCGTTGAAAGGAGATCAGACCCAAGTTTTCGTTTGGGTTAATGATGAAAGGTACTCTGGCAAGCAACAACGAGCACCTCCCCAATTCTTGAAACGGCTCAACAGGGCGCGGTGCGAGGGTCAATGGGAGGCGGGCGGGGGGGAGGGACTGCGGCCGTGGGGGCGGCAGGAGGCAGCGGGGGCATGTCCCGCCTCGAGCAACAGAGAGAGACCATGAAAGGTGGGCAACACAGGAAGCAGTTGTACAAGGCTCGGATGCAGCAATATGAACGATATCATCAACAACACCAGCAGCAAAGTAGCTGACAAGCGACGGGTTGTGGTGCTGATCATTGTTGTGTCGGGTATTTGTGATAGCTATGATGCGCGTTTTGTTGTCATTTGCTTGGTACAGCCAACCTGGGTCCGTCCACACCTGGCAATTCCTTCACATCTGGCGACTAAATATCGATTTCATAACACTCCATGATTCGAGTTTAGAATCATTAACATAAAAATTCGGTGGGCTCTCTCTCTCTCTCTCTCTCTCTCTCTCTCTCTCTCTCTCTCTCTCTCTCTCTCCCCCCTCTCTCTCTCGCTCCTCCTTCGGATTTTGGTTTGATCATTTCGCCGCTGCGCCCGCCCTCCGACACACGTACCCCCCAACACACCGCTCCTCGCAGAACACGACCGCATGCTGGCGGACCTGGGTCGAGGGGTAGGACGACTCAAGACGCAATCGGTGATGATCAACGAGGAAACATCCCTCCACGTCAGGCTGCTGGATGACATGGAGGGAGATGCGGAGCGGGCGTCATCGGGGTTGCTCACCGAAGCAAGACACGCTGAAAAGGTACAGCACCGTATTGCGCGCTTAAGAGGTACAGGTAGTGCACGCTGAAAAGGCACGGTACCTTGCGCCCAAAAAAAGGTACATCAGTGGTTTACGTTGCAAAGGTACAGCACAGTTGTTCCCGCTTGAGAGGTACAGGTAGTGCACACTGAAAAGGTGCAGCAGTACTTCATGCTGAAAAGGCACCGTAGTGCACGCGTAAGAGGTACGGTCGGCCCCCGCTTTGAGGAAGCGCATGGTTTTTCTTCCCAATACAAGAGTCTTTAAACCGACGAAGTATTCTTGCTATGTAACCCTCTATTGTGTTTTCATTCTGCGGGGCACCATGCTTGAGAATCTAGGCAGGTGCTGTTGTGAGATTTGTAACTCCTCGCAACACACGACAAGGATTTGGTGAATACAACCGCCGTGATGGGAGGAGCGTCTAAGGAAGCAGCAACCAAGCTAAAACCTTTTTTTGAACTTTTGAACTTTTGAACTTGAGTCACCTGTGACGACTGTGGGCGTGTTGTGACTAAGCACCAAAGATGGTAAAGCACCCTCGAGAGGCAGGCGTGGCTGCTAGTCTTCCTCTGGACTACGACAGAGGTCGATAATCCTCAGCCATGGCTGTACGGTTTTTGTGAAGTACTACCTAAGTGATGGAAGGGTTATTCTTCCACGCGTGTGCCGGAGCACTTGGGGGCTCCATTGGTTGCCGACGGTATGGCGGGGGCGTCCACTGGCATTGACATCCGGCTAGAACCCGCGGGAAAGGTGGTGGGGTGTTGCTCTCACCCCCACGGTTAGCTTGTTGCCGCTTTGCTCGCCAGGAAAGTTGCTACTATTCTAATAACATGTAGCCCTGTTTTTTGTTTCCATGTTCGTAAACAATGCCTAATCAGCGACATTGCGCAAACGATAATGATCATCTTGTGCCAATAATTCACGCCTTCTTTCGCCCCCCCCGCGCTCCCGTGCTCGTTGCGCGTGCATCCCCCGCCGTACATTCTTCTCGCGTGCTTCCGTCAGATTCGTGAAAAGAGCAAGACCTTCAACCTGTACGTCATCATCCTGGTGCTGTCTATCATCCTCGCCATCCTCGTCTTTTCGGGCCTCTGATTGGTCGAACAGCAAGCACCCGATTAATCGGGTAGCGTGATTGGTCGGGTCACCTGCTTGGTGGAGTCGGAGTTAAGCTAAACAACGTGTTGAGCTGGCTTCATTTTAATGTGGATTCAGTGCGTCAGGTCCAGGCTGTTGAGTCGGTATGGTGGGTCATTACTTGACCATCCATGACCATCTTGCGTTCCGGGTCGTCGATTTTTTTTTGCATCGTAAATAGCTGTATTTGTAGGAACCCGTTCTCAGGATCAATTGGATACAGGTACTTCAAATACTGACGCCGCTAAACGAACAGAGGTGTTTGCTCTGTCGAAACGTGTTGTTACCCGCACGGCAGGGACAGAGAAACCAGGGTCATTCCTGTCACCGAATCATAAGAGATCACGTTGATTGTGACCCCATAGAAATGGTTTATCCATCTACCAACGTAGATGATTCCGTTTCCGTCGGTCTTGCTCAGTGAATGAACGCTGTGAGACGATTGTTATGAAAGGGTCATTCGCCTTTCCTAGCGTGGCGGGACGCAGTGTAAGCCGGGTTCCTTTCCCAGCGTGGAATACTTTGGGCCAGCTCTTGTGATGACGAATTCCGTCTCGTCGCCGTTGAAGAAATGAATGAGCAGTTCTTTATTTTGCAAGATACAGTACACGGGAGATCGGTGCAAGGCTTGCCGGAGGGGGCAGTTGCACCCCGTGCTGGCGTAGGTGCGCGCGCATATTTTGAGGATAAACCTTCAACCCGTTGCATCCTTGTGTGTGCATGTTCCCGGTGACTAATCCGGTCATTCCTCATAACCTCGCTACTGTCACGATCAACCCTCGGTGTGGCGAGCTGGTTTGCGGTGTCTGGCGGTGGGAAAGCCCTCGACACTCCCGTGTGTGCGCACGATTCGTCTGCCGTTGTTGTGTGCAGCAATTCTCTCGACCCTCCCGTCGCGGCAAAGGGTTGGTCGCTTTCGCATCTTGTACGGCTCGTGCGTCTCGATGATGACAAGCTTGCTTGATGTGCCCCTCGATATGGGTGTGTTGTATTCGGGATAGCCCGTAGTACGCTGGATCTGCCGCCCCCCTTGTGCGTCTGTTTCTGACAAGCCTAGGGACGCCGTCGGCTTGGCGTGGCCTCTGCAACTTTGCATTCTTTTGGCATTCTACACTGGTCCCAGGGAACTCCGGTTTTGATATTATTCATGGCGTGGTTTGCGGGAGTCAAAAAAATTCGACCACCCGCAAGTATTCCGCATGCTGCATCTGATAAGACGAACACCAATAACTAGCACTACAGTATGTACACGAAGCTATTGGGGTCTGTGGGCGGTACTACTGCTTCAGGAACTACTGCGTCTGCTTCAGGAAAAAACTGCCAACTCAACCTGCCCCCCGCCCCCGCGAACGATGCTTGCAGTGATGCAGTGAGCCCCACCCCGGCCAATTGGCCCCAATCCGCTGCTGGCTTTTCAAAATCGTTCCTCGCACTATTATTTAGCCGGTCTTCTCGTCCAGAAACGCGATAGCAGCGGCCATGCCCTTGTCCATTTCTCCAGCATCAGGCGCCTGGCCCTGTGCCGAAGTCGGTCTCCCCCCTCCCCGGCCCCCGCAAGCCGCGAGCGAAGAACGAAGCCACTCGTCCGCCTTAAGCCCGCCCTGGAGAAAAAAGAGAAAAAATAGTTAAATTAATTGGTAGATAACTTATATGGAGAATCCCGGACTCTCGTCTTCGATTTTGTTGTTTTTGTGAAACACAGAGATGATTCCGTTCGTTGTGGTGCAGAAATAGAAACAATTAAAACAGATAGAGGGAGGCGAGGGGACACCTAAGACGATACAAAACTAGAAGAAAAAAACTTCGTACACTCCAGAGAAAAGAAAGACAGTAGATGAGAGAGCAAACGCGTCAGATGGGAAACCGGGGGGGTTACAGGAGGAGAATTCGATGAGAAGCGAACATGCTCCACACTGGTGTGCCATAGATACACCCTTCGGCAAGCATCCCAAGGCGCAAGCAGTTACACAATCAAACACGCACCTCTGCCGCAGCCCCTGCCACGGCGCTGAAAACCAGGAGTTTTCCCGTGGCCCCGGGTCCCTCGGCGCTAAAGCCCATGAAAGAAAGCCCCGGCGCGACCTTAGAAACTCCGTCGAGGACTCGCTTCACGGCCTTCGAGTCCGCCCCGATGGCCACCTATGGAGGGGGAGACGTGGGAGGGGGGGGGGTACTCGTGTGAAAGCGTGTCGTAGTCGTTAGACCATCGACCTCCCATCCCTACAATGCCGGGACGGAGCGATATTTCGGGCTTTCGCCGGCCCAGGCCACCTTTCACAAGGATGAAGGACAACGTCATATTGTCATGTTGAGGGCGGAGCCGGGGGGCTTACTCGCCGCAGTCATGAAAACACTTACCATTTCTTGAAACAAAACAAAACCTCACAGAAAGACTACCCGTTCAAGATATAACCTCAGTCGAACGGAATGTGGTGAAGTCTTTTCAGTAAGTGGATTGAAACCGACTGGGCATTTCCTCGATAATCACCGTGGGTGGGGGCCCAATAAGCCGTTCAATAGGTTGGTGCAGTGCTTCCTACGCAAATCAGGGGTGGCAGCACACGAAATCATAAAAATGACGAAGACTTTACACACACGCAAACGACCCGGTCGATTTGTTGGTCCAAAACAACAAAAAAAGGGAGCTCATTTGCGACTTACCTCCCGTGCGACGACGCCGGCGAGTACGTCAAACGCGTACACCCGAGGGGTGTTCAGGCTTGTGCCAAAATAAACGGGACAAACACACATACGGTCCCAAACGAACGCGTCTGCAAAGCACCAGCCTTGGTGAACACGTCCAGTTTTCTTATGCTATTGCTACGGCATCTGTCTTTAATCAGGAGAGTAGCATGGCCTGCCCCATGACGCCCCCTCACGGGGTCTCACACAGATCATGGCCTTTGGAAGAATTTCCTGTTTTCAACCGCACTGAGACTGACGTGTTTTCATTGGTCAGTCGAGTAGCGCGGTCGATGCTAACAATATAGACCATGATACACACTCGTGCCGTAAGGAGAGCAATGCTTCCCTCTGGTCGGCTCACATGGAGTGCCTTATCAGGTGGAGAAGCACGTCCGGAAACAAACACGTCAATATAGAAAACCTCAACCCTCTTCTCCGTGCAGTCCACGAAATGCACACGCCCGATGCGCAACCAAAACATTTTGAGGGAACAGAAAACTAGGCCAACAGTTCACCGCGTATCTTTCTCCCCCTTCTCAGCGAAAACACTTGGTACACCAAGGAATGTGGTGTTCGCGTACCCTGGAGACGAGCCTCACAACAGATCGACCACCCGCAGATAATTGTTTGTATCTCTTCCTGCCCATACCTCCACTCTGACCACAACAACGACCATGTCAACCAAAAAAAAAGAAAGAAACAACAACAAAAACAGCCACAACCACAACGGCAGCAACAAAGACACCATAACGGCCAACACGATGACGAGGACGAATACAACATGAACGACTTACATCCATGACGACCCAGGTCTTCCCCTCCTCGACCGCCTGTTTTGCCGCCTTCACCGCAGCATCAACCTGGTCGAGTCGAATCAGAGTTGTGGTTTTGAAGAATTTGATGTGTACCGCCTGAAACTGGTAAAATATACCAGGAATAGAGAGTACAAGTACAACGACATCGGATACATGTGCTCTGGATGAAGATCACAGAGGTCGACAGCATACGCAAGAGAGTTACCAGGCGAGACAAACAACAACAGTAACAAGAAAAACAACAACAACAACACCGGCCGGATACAAGCACCGTCTCACCCCGCTCTGTGCGGCAGCCGCGGCAGCCGCCTTGCTCTCGGCCGCGACCCTCTTGAGCAGCTTGTCCCCCTGCGCCCGCAGCCTGCCCTTCACCCCGGCCGAGAGGGTTGCTCCGTCAACGTCTCGCCTGAGTGCCAGGCGCGCGACAAAGCGGAACATCAAGGTGGGTGGGGCGGGGGGGGGCGTACTCATGTTTTGGCGTAGCGGATAGATTATTGCCCATGCGTCCTCGAGAGGCCGGAGTGGGAGGGCCGATAGATAGGGGGCATGCGCCCAAAAATACCGAGTAAATCGTGAAAAATGAGGATTGAACACCTGGAGCACTTCACGATGCGGCACGGAAACAGAAGAAAAACAGCTGGTACTACAGCAGTACGAGCACGACACGCAAAATGGAACAAGGAGTTGTAAATTGAAATCATGCATTACAAAAAGGGGTCAGCGGGGCACGTGGTGTGACCCTCCCTCCCCCACAACCCCCCCGCTGGTCTTGGGTGCGGACCATCAGGCAGAAATCACACCACGTGATCCGTATCCAACACCCGGCCAGTGTCACGTTTGATTTCGATGTCAACACCCCACTCAAGAGCACAACGTTGCCTGTTGTCACTTGAGAATCCAAGACCGCTTTAAACACGAGCGTTTCGGGAGATGGTACGAAGCATTCGTTTTCGTTAAAGGCAGCTACAACTACATCTACCTGGCTTCCGGGCTGCTTCTCTCTCTGTATCTCTCTCTTCCAAGAACAAAACACGGGAAGGTCTTGTTTCGGTTGGCCGGACAACCAGCAAGAGCGGCAAAAACCTTCTCAAACAAGAGACAAAGCTCCTTCTGCTGAGACATTGAGATGTGCTTGTGTTCTTTTCTTGCCTGAAGGATGCCACGGCGCCTTCTAGCTCGCCACCTTTCAGCGACGAAACCTCCTCCGCGCGCAGTTTCAGCACCTCCCCCGCCGCCACCGCCTCCTTCGCAGCAGACCCCGTTATTGCCGTGATCTGAGCACGACGACCATGTATTTCGAAGAAAAAACTCCCAAAACGGTAATGGTTGACGGCAGCGGTAGACCCATCGCAAACATCACACGGCAATGTGATATGGTAGCAGAAATGATGCGCGCCGCTTTTTTTGCGGGCTGCTCTCGTCTACAGCACGATTGGAGGATATCGACCGCCTGCGAATCATGGAATGAACACTGTCGGCGACCCTCAATTGCGGTAAGGCCGGCAACAGCAATCGCTGTGTGAATGTTTATTGCGCTGTTGGTTGTCTTGTTCTCTTCAGGTTTGGAGACGCGCTGCGAAATTTGCTTCAACACCAGGAAAATACGCACCAAACACGAGGAAGGCAGTTCGATAAATTACAAACTTCATTCCTTTTTTTTTGGTTGGGAGACAATTGTTCATTTTTGGGGGGGGGGTTGGTAGACAAATTCATTTTTGTTAGGTTTTTGAAACGAAGTCACAACATACAGTACTTATCGCCGCCGAGAGTTCTCACCCGTCTGACCCCTTTGGCGACAGCCGTCTCCTCAGTAATGACGAAAGCCTCCGCCTCTCTCGTGTTTCCCACGTGGGTTCCGCCGCAGAACTCCACCGACGAGGTCGCCCACTCTTCTCGACTAGGGTCCTTCGCCTGAAGGTGAAACGGCAGAAAATCGTGGATACATAGACGTTTTGTTGTTGCTGCTGCTTTTGCACAAAAAACAGCGTTCGTCAGGAGGTAACAAAAAAAAAAACAGCAGCAGTGGATACACACCAGGTGCAAGAAATGTATTGCTGTGTCGTGAAATTATACCTTGTCCACCTTCTCGCCTATTGTTTTCTGTTGTTTATGTTTATTTTCGTCAGTACAACGGTACAAAATCGAAATACATCTCTCTCTACAACGTCTGCGTGTGTGTTGAAACACAAACATAGCGCACTTCTACAGCATGTTTCTATTTTCGGTTTCGGGGACAACATGTCGGCAATATCCAGACGAAGGTATCAAGTGCAGTGACGCCACACGACCTAGTTGTACTGCTGCCTCGTCCTTCTTCTCATCTTCTCACCATATCCTCCACCGGAAATCCCACCGATACCACTCTGACAGGGTCGGGGTACACTTCTCCGAATACGGCTCTCAGGCCGAAGATAGACTTTGCTTCGGAAAGCGGCAACACCTTAGAGCAGAAAAGCCATGACACGGACGGACAGACAGACGGAGGGAGAGGTAAAAGAGACAAGAGACAGGGAGGGAGAGAGAGCGCGAGAGAGGCATGAGCGACAGGCAGACAGAGGAGCAAGGGAGACAGGTGGATAGACAGACGGGCAACAGAGACGGAGAGAAATAAGGGGAGGGAGCAGTGCTATCAGACGGCATCACTACCTTGAGTGTAGGCATGAACGAAATACACGCACGTTGGCACTGTCAACCTGCTCTACTCGTCGTCCTTAATCCATCGGCTCTTCGAACACGACACGTAGCCCACTACACATAAACTTTGTTGCTAACGTAGTTGACTGTGCGCAACTTGTAGGTCAACCAAGAAATCTGAGCAACTGTTACCACGATATGACAATCATACCACAGCCTGTAAAAAAAAACACGGGCCTGCTTCCAAAACATCACACTCTAGAAATACTGTGTACCTGGCCTATCACAAAAATCAGGGGTCCAGTACTGCCCTAACAAATACAGAAGAGTCAGAACATCGTAACCTTGTTGTGCACTGCCCGGCCTTTCTGTACATTCATGTCCCACACCAAAACGTTTTGCTTAGAACGCAAGTGTACTTCACCGCTTGCGTCTCAGCGCTGACGAATTGTTCTCATCTCTGCCTCTTGCTGTAAGCATTGTTTACCTCGTCCGTCTCAGCGCTCACGAACTGATGTACTCACCCCCACACCTCTTGCTGAACGAATTGTTGGACTGTTGCGTCCCAGCCCTCACGAACAACTGCCTGCCGTGGTTTGTCTCTAGATTAGTTACTCACCTGGTTGTAGACCTCTTTCTCTTCCTGGATGATACGCTGGACGATGGCCTCCGACTCCTCTAGCTGAGGACCGGTCAGAGCCTTTCCGTGGCTAAAGTCGAACCTATCCAAACAGACCACAAACAAAAAACATGGTGAATCAAGCTGATAATACGTAGCGTGGATCGACGAGAATAAGCCCAACGAGCACAGGCAGAAAAATACAGGAGTCGCACAGCCGTGGCGAAAGTCAAACCAGTCCAAAAGATAAAAAAAAAAAATGTTGCCCCTTTAACGCGACATTCAGCGTGGAGTCAATTAGTATTACTACCAGAATCTGTCTGCATCTTCCGCTTTAGCCTATCTTGGGCATGATTTCTGAATGACCCTCACCAGTACCAGTACTCTGTTCCTCGCCAGTCACCGTTGCAACATCAACGTTCTCTCTGTCCGGAACTGTTGGGGCAAACATCCCAAGAACACGACCGCGTTCCGAACACGAGCATACAACAACAACAACAACAACAACAATAACAGAGCAGGGTAACTACCTGAGTTTTTCGTCCGTGACCAAGGAGCCCTTCTGATCCACCCCTTCGTCGACAGCCTTCCTGAGAGCGTAGTTGAGCGCGTGCGTCATGGTGTGGTTTGGGGCCACCTTCCTCCGCCTGTCGTAGTCGACCTCGCACCGAACAGAGTCGCCGACGCTCAAACTGCGGCCGGACCAAGCCAGAGAGGAAGAGAGTAAGAGAGGAAGAGAGGAAGAGAGGAAGAGAGGTAGAGAGAGAGGTAGAGAGAGAGGTAGAGAGAGAGTTAGAGAGAGAGACAGTGAGAGAGAGAGAGAGAATGAAGAAGAGAGAGAGGAAGGTGGGGGTGTAATGTGAGCAAACGCTGTTTTGGCACGTCTTGTTGCTTGTAGGACATGGGGGGTAAGGCTGGTACGGCGCTTTCTGTGAATTATCGACATGTACGGAGCCTCAACCCCACACCACTTCGCACCAACACACAGCCATCGACGCTCAAGCGCAAAAGACTTCATCACCAGACGACGATTCCTTCAAACGGCGAGGCTTGGGAGGGCAAAAATCGCATCAACACGCAGTGACAAATTACGCCCATGATTGGGTTGCCTGCAACCGCGCGGAAGGTGCAGCCTTCGGAAGACCAGGGAGAAGGAGGTTCGAGGAATATATGCAATGCCTACGTTTGACCAGGTCTACAGCATACTTGAAAGACCAACATCAGCAGTAACCACAAAAAAAAAAATCAACACAAAAAAGACGAAAAACAAACAAACAAGACGCACCTTCCCGACACGAGCCGCCCTACGTGAAGCGCGAACCCTCCGAACATCCTCACGTCCGCCACCTCGATCACGCCGTCGTCGCCATCCTCCCCCCCCGCGGAAACGACGAGTTTCCCGCTGTCCGAAACCTGGCCCCCGGCCTCGGAGTAGAATGGGGTCGAATCGAGGAGAATTCCTACCGTGGTCGCGTCATCGGATGAAGCGGCAGCGGTTCCGCCGCTTTGCGAGGCAGTCGTGGAAAGAGTTTCTCCGTCGAACAACGCCACCACCTTCGGGGGGCGACGCAAGTTGCGCGCGCGCGCGCGGGGGGGGGGTCAGAACCACCAACAGTACTAAGAACAAAAACGACAAAAATAACGAGAGAAACAATGACAAGAATAAACAACACCAACGACAGCGATAGATACCAAGAGCACGCCGCGGTAGCCAACACATGTACAACGACCGCGCACAGCAACAGCGAAAACTAAAAAGAAAACCAACGACAGCGAACACACCAACAACGGCAACAAAACAGCTACATAGCACCACATGGAACGGAACGGAACATACCTTATTACCGGTAGTCGTGCTCCACGTGTACTTCGCCTCATCGTCGGTGGGCTTTACCCCCTCCTCCGCCAGCCGCGACGTTTCGTCTGCACCAAGAGCCATGGCGCGGACACCTGCCCCAGCCGCCCTGCGGATGATACGGGTGGGGGGCAGCTTTGAAGAACGTTATTTTCCACAACCGTTCCCCCCCCCGCGTTCTCCTACCAAATCGCAAGAAAAACGGGGGTTCCCTTCTCCCCTTCCACCCCTTCTCCAACTTTAGGGATGAGGAGGAGGAGGAGGAGGAGGAGAGCAAAGTGGGGACTAAGTTCTAGCCAATCGGATGTCGGTCCCCGGTTTGCGCGGTAGAACTAGAGCCGCGATTTTGGTGGAATATCAGACTGGCTCCGTTGCATGTATCGGGGCACAGAAGCCGCGAGATACGGCGCGAGCACGTAGGCGTGAGTTGGGGTGTAGTCTTCCGTCTACCGGTGAAGTGGTGTGGCCCAGTGCAGCCGTGATTACCAGCGCCTTTGTTGGCGCATTCATGAGCTTTGTGGCCAGGTTGCGGTGGCCGCCAGACACCAGATAGACACGCGCCATCACAAACGTCGAGGAACTACTCAGCACCGTCCATGCACACTCGTTTACCCAAACCTTCACCAACAACCACTGCATTGTACGTACATGCTCAGGGGAGTACTGAAGGTGACATGACACATTATACCACCTCCCCCACCCTGAACCGATTTTCAAAGCTCGATTTCCCTGCCGCAAATGTCAGTGGCGGTGCCAAAAGTCGGGGGCGTTGGAACCGTCTCATCGAGGTATTTCTCGAAAACGCTATTCTAGTTACCATTTGATTCTGGCATCATTGTCCGTGAAAGAAAAATCGAGCTCTGACGATTAGTCCGGGCGGGGGGTGTTATCTTACGCAACGTACGGTACCGTAGCTGGCCTTCCAGAAGCATACCGTAGGTGACACAAGATATCACACCCCCTGAACCGATTTTCAAAGCTCGATTTCTCTACAGCAGAAACAGAAGCGGTCGTGCCGAAACCGTCGGCGTTGAGAGCTTTCCGAAAACACCTCCTCACAATTTCTTTCATTTCATGCACCCTCTTCGTCGTGGAGTGTTCGAGATCGGCCCTGGCGGGGTGTTATCTTGTGCCATGCCATGTCACCTACGGTCGCTAGCGTGGTGGTGATACGCGCACATCTTCAGGCGGTCTCTAGCCTCCTTGGACCCGGACTCTTGGGCAGCCATCTCGTTCGCAAAAAAGCGAGCTTTGACAATTTATCCGGGAGGGGGGGGGGGGGGGGGGTCTTACGCAGCCTAGGTTGCTGGCGTGAGGTTGCATACTAGAAAACATAGCGTCGTACGCACACACACCTTCGGGCGGCCTCTGCCTCCTTAGACCTGGCCTTCTGGGCAGCCATCTCGTTCGCAAACCCTTCTTCGTCCACCGTCATGCCCACCTGAACGGATACGAATGTACACACGCAACAAAAAGAAATATACATAATGATGTCTTAGAGAGAGAACAAAGGGGGAAAAGACAAAACGCAGACATTCATCTTCCTTTTCCATGAATAGCCCCTGTGTAATATTCGGCCCATAAACTTTCCCGAGGGATGGGTAAACATGCAGCTTGCGAATTGATAAACAGCCAGTGGGTCCTGGTGACATTTTCGTCCAGAAACAAACCCCCTTCTCGGTTCTTTGTGGGATTCGGCCAGCGTTAGCGTTAAGGTCGAAAACAAGGCTCTGATCACGAAAATTGCGGGGGCCAGACTTGAGACCATACTACAGGACGGTGGTGACGGCTAGTCACACGGTTCCGACCACAGCTTTCTTGCGCCCCGGGCCATGCGTGCCCGCAAAAGATCGAAGGGGAAAGGATAAAGGGCTACACTAGTTCTGGCTTAGGGTACGCGCTATTTAAATGTTCAAGGCAATGCTTCGCGAGGGTGACGAAGCTTAGGTACCTTCCGAGAGCCTAGATACTGTAAGGGGGGGGGGGGGGGGAACTCATAATCGTGCATGCCGTAATCCTTAAACCATTGACCTCCCATCCCTACAAAGCCGGGACGGAGGCCAGGCTCTCACATCACCAAGCGCGAAACGCCGTGATGTATTCGGCGAGTCGCATGAAGGGTGCGCTGCATCCTGCTAAGGGTGTTCGGCATCTTGTGCTTACTTCCTTGCGTACGGATGACACCTGCGTATGGATTAATTTATTTTCTGGTGCTTTCACTTCCAGAGACAGTTATAAGCACTGTGTAATTGCCTCGAGGATGCTTTACCATTTTAACACGACGTGGTGCGATCATCCCCCTTGCGCGGAGTTGTCGACCCAGCACAACGTGATCTACTCGACCACCATTATCGTTACCGCAAAAAAAAAAACCGGTAACCTGGTTGCCGAGTTCACGAAGTGAATTGGCTTGTTTTACAACGTCGTTGCCAAGCGACGAAAACCCAATCCCGATGGCAAACACCGAGTGGAGGTATTGTAAGGGGGGTACTCTAGGAAACCGGGTGAAAAACTTAAAAAGATGAAGACCCAAATTGTTTTTGAGTTTGCTCGATCGAAAGAGCTACGCTGATTTCGACCTCTCCTAACAGACAGATGCCGTTTTTCCTTCTTTCGTGCACCGTCAAGGTTTCCAGGGATGTAAGGCCGAGGCATTCTCACCTCCTCGGCCATGACCTGTGTGAGGTCCAGCGGGAACCCCATGGAGTCGTACAGGAAGAAGGCCGTGTCACCCGGGATGGTGTTGGACGACTTGCCCCTCTGCTCCTCCTCCACTTCCTTGAAGTGCTTGATGCCTCTCTCCTGCAAGAAACATCGGGCAGTCACTTCCACCAATCAGCGAGCGCCACACAGCAGGGGCTGGTTGCTAACAACAATGTCGCAGCCGAAATACGCCCTCATCCAATAGGCATGACGCCCCCCTCCCTACGACAACAACGACAACACAACACATGCACGGAACCGTTCGCAAGGCCAATTTTGGGCTTCGAACGCCACGCACTCTTCCCTGCAACGCACGGAGAGAACCAAAGCAACAGACCCCTCCCTCACCAGCATAGAGCTGAAGGCCTCTTCCTCCTCCTTGATGATCTCCATGACGAAGGCCTCCTTTTCTCGCAACTCCGGGTACATGTCTCCGAACTCCGCCACCACCACTGCCACGCCACCATCGTGTGATGCCCATGGAGTTTACCGAGATAGTCACGACCACCCCAACCCAGAGCAGCAGGGACAAGGGAAGGCAGGCGGGTGCATTTGAGTGATACGGTTGCTGCGAATCGACGTATGACGGTATATGGCAGGAACATCTGGCCAAAACAAAAAAACGAAATAACGCCTGTCACCTGGTCTGGTATATAAAAGTACGTCATAAAGCTACGCCGACACAATTCAACACGCTAGTAGACGAAAAATACCCACGTTGGGCGAACACTTCACAAACAAACGCGAAACAACAACAACAAGGCCTGCTCGGCAGCGTCGACACCCAAAAACACGGACATGCATGCCTCACCCGGCACGATCTTCTGAAAGAATCCCGGCGGGGCCTTGAGCACGTCCTGGCCGTACCGGACCGCCCTCCTCAGGATCCGCCGCAGCACGTAGCCCCGGCCATCGTTGGCAGGCACGGCGCCGTCCGTGATGGCGAAGGACAGTGCTCGCGCGTGGTCTGCAACAACCCTGCGTGGTTGGATATTGGGACGTTGTTGATGACCGGGTTGGTTAGCTGTTGCTGGTTGGTATTTTGGATATTGTTGGTATGGAGGCTGCTGCTGTTTACGCCGTCTCTGTGGGTTTGTTGGTGCGGCTGCTTCGTGTGCTTTTGCCTTGAAGCGCTGCACATGCGGTAAGAAGCAACAGAGGAAAATTTCGGGGAGACCCAAACCGCCGACGGCGATCGGCTGAGAAGAGCAACTGTCCTTTTCGAAAAGGAAAACACGACCAGCTAACCATGGCACGTCCCGGCTTCCTGGAGTCACCGATTTTGTCTACACGGTTCTGCTGCTAGGCAGTGGCTTTGCCTTCATCCTCAAATCACACGTTCTGCGCGTACATTTGTTTCGCCAACGCACCCCAACAAAGCAAATCGCCACAAGACAAAAACACGGCATGTTGTACCTTTTCATCTAGACAGAAAAAAAAAATTACTTCCGTAGTTGTCTGTAAGATAAATCGTGTTTGCACCTGTAGGCAGTATCCTTGAGGCCAACGTCTTCGTCGCCTACTTTGCCCTCGTAAGGGGGGCAACCGGTCACGTCTTGGATCGCGTCGAACAGGGGGCCAAAGACGTCTGTGTCGTAGTTAGACCGCTTGTCCTGCACCACTCATTCGGCAACGTCGACAGGGGTTTGGAACACGAGCGAGCAACGAGGTGCGTATCAGCCACAAAATAGTGATAAAGGAGGAAGGGGAGGCGAGACAACGGAAATCAACTTACCGTAGAAGTCGAAAAGGCACTCCGAAAGTTCAGTCACACGGGGGCACCGCAGATAAAGTTCGGGGGGGGGGGGGGGGAACTGACCATAACGGGGGCCACCCCAAGGGGGTCGGAAAACCCAGGACCCCAAAAACCCTTGTCCACATCAAAATGACGGTTGGCAACCCTCGGGGCTGGGACTCTACATGTAGCTTGCCCCACTCAAGCCTTGATAAAAAAACACGGAACTCAAAAACGCAATGGGCCTCAATCCCGCCCCCCCCCCCCGCCCCTCCTTCACCGCTAGTTCGGGGTCCCCGCGGGAACACAGATTTCAAAGACCTAGCGTTCGCCACCATGTGGCCCCCTGAGTCCCATCCGCGACCCCCCCCTACCCCCGTTCTCGTCGCCTGTTCGAACTTTACCTGCAGAATGGACACGAGCCTTTCGAGACCCAAGCCGGTGTCAACGTGCTTCGCCGGAAGTAGCTTCAGGTTGCCTGCTTCGTCCCGGTTGAACTGCTCCAAGACAACAACAGCAACATTGGCAATCACACGGTCAACAACAACGCGGTCAACAACAACGGGGCATCGTCGTGAGGGGCACATTCCGGGTCCATTGCAAAAAAAAAAAAAAAGGCACCCACGAGTGTTGCATCATGGGCACGATATGACACATGCATCACGATAACGATCCTTCAACTGCAAATTACAGCTCGTATGTCTGCTCGATGAATCAAGTTGATCACGTGCAAGCATACAGAGCGGCGGGAAGCAACGAGGCACTATCATAGAACGGCGGCAAAGCGTTCTTTGTACCAATAAACCTCCATGGGCTTTCTAGAACAAAAACGAGAGGCAGGACCTAGAATCGGGGTCACAGCAGTTACTTAGAACAAGCAGCTGTTGAAGATGTTGGGAAACACTGCACCACCGGGGTGCGAGAGGTACTCGGAATCAGAGTCGGCGGCGGAGGCTAGGTCCGCACGGACTCGCCAACCACGGACAACTAAAAACACACAACCGCTGGAACGCGGTGAAGATGCCCCGAGATCGCTCAACTCGCCTGCATGAAGACAAGGTTCCAGATCTCGATCACGTCCGGGTCGTCCATGTTCACGAGGCTGGCCGCGTTCCGCCCCCCGATCCGATCGAAGTGGAGCTCGGAGCACGGGCCGCAGGGCCCGACATCGCCCATCTGCGCAAGAGTTGTGGACGAGTTCGGCAAATCGAGTTACACACACGAATACCGCAGACACAGTACCGAACGTCGGGATACCTCGTACAGCCGATGCTCTTTGGGGGCGTTTGTGGGCAGGTCGAGATTCCCCTGGCGTTTGAGTGATCACCGCAAGCAACAGAAGGCCAAAACACGCAATGCGGAAGTATTCTGTTCGCCAAGACCCATCAATTGGCATTCTTTCTACGGACGTCATTCCGCCCGTGCTTACTCCCCATCCCGTGCCTTCTATCCCATCTCTGCAATCCCTGATAGCGCTCACTCCCTCACTGTACGATAGATACCACCCCCCCTTGACATCCCTCCCCATTCGCTCCCGCTCTTCCCAACACCACCTCTTGTGCGCCAAGCAAAACCCCACCACAAACAACCACCGACTCCCGCTCCACCTTCCACAAGTTTGAGCGACCTTCGGCAAAGTAGGACGGAAACATTTTGGCCAACCGTGACCCGGTTCTCCTGTGGAAACAACGCTCGGTCCTCTCGAGTACGCGTGGCCTCTGCTACCGATTACGTTCACGCGGAGCACACGCGCCCCACCTCCCAAAAGTTATCCTTGCGGTCGCCGGGCATCACCCTGTCCTCGGGCAAGACCTTGAGCCAGAGGTCTCTCGTCTCCAGGTCGGGGGCCAGGCCGAGCTCTTCGTCGCCGCCGAAGTAGGTGGCGTACAGGCGGTCGGCAGGGAGGCCGAAGACCTCGTTCAGGGCCTCGAAGCCCCACTCCACGGCTTCCTCCTTAAAGTAGTCGCCGAAGCTCCTGTTTTGCGCGAAAACACGGGCGTCACCCGACCCCCCCCCCCCCCACACGGACAAGGTGGGGAAAAAAAAAGCCGAAGATGGTTTAACCCATGTTTTTTCGGGAAGATCGGCAGTCTATTTGCGCGTGGACTACGCTGATAAAACAACGCGAACAAAACGCCTGCCAGGGCATCGGGCCCCCTCGTCACGGCCCCCTCCTCCTCGGGCAAGCTGGTGTCGCCCGTTAAACCGGGCCGAGAAGACGAGTTGGTAAAAAAGACACGACACACGAGGCATGCCCGCGCACGATGGTCGCAAGCGAGACGCCCCCAAGTCCTCCAAGTACGGCGACCCTCTGCATGGCTAACAAACGACACGCAACCAACGGACGGGGGAGGGAGAAAAGAGGCAGAGGAGGGCGGGAACGCCGAGCGCCGCGGTGTCTCTCTCCTCTCTCACCAGGTACCCAGCATCTCGAAGAACGTGTGGTGGTAAACGTCCCTGCCCACGTCGTCTAGGTCGTTGTGCTTGCCGCCCGCGCGGATGCACTTCTGGCTGTTGACCGCCCTCTTGAGCCCGGCGAGCGGGCTCGACGGGTCGGTCTGCCCCAAGAACACCGGCTTGAACTGGTCGACGGGTTTCACGAAGCAGAGGGAGGCGGGTAAAATGGTCGGGGGGGCGGGTCAGTCACGCTTGCCGTCATTGGTCGGCATGGAGCGGCTTGAAAAAAGCACCTGTCGTACAGCAGCGGCCACGGGTAATAAGAGCGAATTTTCCAGAGAAGTGGTACTGACTTAAGAACGCCAAAAGCGGCTTATCCCGGTCATGCGGCTTACGCACATAACACCTGATCAATAATACTTCATAGGAGTACAGGGTTAAAAGAGAAAAAACGGATGCAAGAGACTAGTTTTTCGGCTTGTGCCGACCCTCCCTGAAACGGTAGCCGCTACTGCTGCAAAAACGTACCTGGTTCATCCCGGCGTTGGCGAAGAGAAGAGACGGGTCGTTCACGGGTACCACCGGCGAAGACGGGTAAAAGGTGTGCTCCCGCTTGGACTTGAAATGGTCAATGAACGTCTGCCGAACCTGGCGTACCGAGTTTTTGGCGTGAGGAACGACAGTCGCGAAACCAGGCACGGGGGGTTTCAAGGATCAAACTCTAGATATATAGTGTGCTCAGGAGGCGGCGTTTCGACTGATGCGGGGAGGGGACATGAGGCCTACCAGGGTCCTCGGGGTTGCACAACATCCCAAGGGGACAGCCTATCGAGGGAGCAGCAGCATGATTAAAGGGGGGCAACCTTTCGGCGTTGGGCTCTCTTGCTCTCTGTTTATCTCCTTCCCTCTTTCCGTGTATTGGGACGTACGGCATGTGAAGGCTTGGTTGACAAACGCTACGCACGCGACTGAAGATCTGTTACAGAGTGTGGGGACAACAGTTCTCAACCATTGCAGTATTCGCTGGTGGATACGCTATTTATATAGTGTGAAGATACCAGTTCTACCAACGTTTCCATCAAGTTGCATGCTGCTGGTCTTCACAGCTGGTCGTCGCAGCTGCTACCACTGCTGCTATCGCTGGACTACAGCTACACAGCAGCCGAACCCGCCATGCTCGCGGAAACTTTACAACGGCAACTTCACGATCTAACACCGAGAGAGGACGGAAGTTAAATTGCAACTGTGTCAAGGTTGCGCTGCCTCCGCTTTCACACGATACTGCTGTCTCTTTTGATTTTATCTTTCCCACGCGCAGGAGCTCTTCGCTTTCTCCTCTTGCTGCCAAAGTGCTGAAGCGGGTCAAGAGCGGATATACCACGGATTACGACCGAGCAGCAAGCTACTGCACAGCCCACACCCCGCTGGTCAATCCAACTTTTAGGGCAGCACACCTGCTGATGGTGGCGGCGGTGATGCCAATGACAGGCGCCACGCACTACACTGCTTTGTCGTGCATGTGAAAAAAAAAAGAGAGTCAGCAGACCTTAGTCACACTCCATTGCTGCTGCTGATCCCCGACTCCTTCGGGCTCCTGCACCGCGCTACCGCTGCTAGACATCCTCGTCAGCAGTCGCACCCGGCCTCCCTGCTGCCATACTCCTGCCGGCCCCTCACCGCGCCTCTGAACGACCCACACCCCACGCCGATGTGCCGGAACAACGCCGCCGTTGCCGGCACATGAGCTGCTCGAGTGAACGGGACGCCGCAGCAGGCTGCGCGAAAGCAGCGGAGTACCGCGGAAGCTCGCGGAAGGGACGAAAGCCCGGGCCGAGTACGACGCCGAGGCTAGCATGGACACTGCGCACGAGCGCCAGGCTCTCATGGTTCCGGTGATCTTGCCCTGCTCGTCTCCCTCTCTGACAGCTTTCTTCGCTGGCTCGTCAGCTCTCTTCGGCTTTCGGCTTTCGGGGGTTCGCGCCCAAAACGCCAACGCGGTCAATTGGAAACCCATCAGCCAACAAACACATCAGAGGAGCTCTGCGGGTAGGCTCGACGTGAGACAGCAAGACCGTTAGCTGTGCGGAGGACAGAGAACAGGGGGGAAATAGAGATTGAGCGAGAGGTGGCCCGGCGGATATGCACGTATCGTCTTGGGCGTTAGCCAAAATCGTTGGTGGCGTTCCTTGCCCTGCTTTGGTGGGCAAGCACGACGTCTTCAACCATGCTGGAATTGGTCAAACCCCGCTCATGATGGCAACACCGCCGTTGTCATCCGGCCTTCCTCCGCACGATGGCCTGCTCATGCGATCTTGCACTCAACGGCTTCACCCCACCAGGCGGTGCGGTCTCGGTGGCACTCCAAGCAAACACGGGCAAGCATGGATGCTTTCTTGCCAACAGCAACAGCGACAAAAACCTTCGCCAGTAGGCACTAACAACAGCCCGGCCGCCTTGCTCAAGGCACAGCGGGAATCCTCACCATCATCGGGAACCCAACCTGCCATCGAGGACAGGGCGGAGAGGATGTTCGCCATAGCTAGGTCCTTACACCTCCGCCGGCATCGCTCGAAGGCATCGAGGCGGATCGCCCTGAAGATTTTCCGAGAAACATTGCGGCTCCGGCCGGCCTGGAAGGTGGGCGTAGGCTCTGTTGAGTGCGATCTTTTGTGTTCAGCAGCAGCACCAGTACATGAACGGAAGGATGTACAGTCCACGGCGGTGGCAAACACTACCCAACGCACGCGCAAACACAGCGGTATCGGAGACTATCGTAGTACTCTAGTTTGCGTGCCCGTGGGCTCGCTCTCCTTGTTTTGCAACGATGTGGATTTCTCGGTGCTCGCTCGCCCCGCTGCTGACAAATTTGAATTTTTGAATTTCGAAGGTTTGCTAGTGTAATGTAGTCTGGTCATTGCTGAGATCTCGAGAGGGATGTCGCAAGCACGGGCTTTTCGCGCAAGTTGGGGCCAGCAGTCCAGAAACTTCCTAGTATGAGTGGAGGAACAGTAGCTCGTATTTCGTCGCAACCGTCGAGCATGGTCCACAGGGCAATTATAGTATAGGATCCACCACTGACACGTGTTTCTAAGCCTTTTCGTCCTTCAGTTGGGCAGGCCGATCTGCTCTGATCTCGTTGTCTCCTCCCGGCAACGCTTTGATAGCCGGGGTTCCTGTCATTTTCTTCGAATCCGCATGAAAACCAATGTCAAGTTTCTATCATTTTCTTCGACTCCGCATGGAAACCAATGTCAAGTTTCAAGTCCAAACGCACAGGGAGCGGTGTGCGCGTCATGAACACCCGTGACATTCCCGAGGGTACCCACCCAACCCAAACAATGAAACCTACTCCCTCCTTCCTCCCCCCAACAATGATGTGTTCGAAGGAGACGGATACCAGATTCGCAGTAGAGTCCGGCATCGACAATGTCTTCCAAGAGTTTTCCTGCGAGTACGTACAGGCGACGCCAACAGGAAGCACTCCCAAGAGCGGCCCTGAGATCAACCGCACGGGAGACCGTGAAGATGTTCGGCGCCTCCACGCTGCCCTTGCCAGGATAGGCTACAACGCCCGCACGATACAGCGGAGGTTTGGCGTAAGCGATGCACGGCGCCTGCCGGGACCATACTACCTGCGGAAAAACTTCGACCACAACCATGTGAGGGATCTTCTTGATGACCGAAACAGCATTATGTCGTAGGCAGTTACCAGGTCTCAGGTGCATGTGCAGATGCGTGGATACGTGCTGCGATACTTGCACTCTGCGCAATCCCATTCTTCTTAACGCGCTCTCATGACACGATTGGACACCACTCTTGCCACACAGAATCGGCCCCGTCGTCAGTAGCCACGAGTTTACCTTTCTTCAGTTGTGAAACGTCAAGAATTGGCCTGTTGTGCACGGTAGGGTTCAGTAGGGTACTCAGCGCCGAGCTTCGACACATGTTTTCTTTTTTCTTTCTTTCTATTTGACACGAGGTCTTGCGAAGGCCGTTTCGTGACCAACACTCTGTGTGTTGATTTTGAGCACACCGATGCCATGCTGCGGTGTGAGAACCAACACCGGTGGGCACGGCGACTACGTTGATCCAACCCGCGCCCAACCTCCTTGATTTCCTTTTTCCATTGACTTTTCGAGTCCCCCCCCCCCCCCCCCCCCCGGTAACTTCATACATTGTTTCCACGTATCCTTCTACACCCCAGGCGGCAGTCGTTTCATCAATGGGCCCAGCCAAGGATGCCCTGGACGTGGCCATCCGCCTTTTCCTCTTGGGGGTCGCGCTGCCTCGGGCGCATGTAGAGGGGGCCCTCGGCCTCGATTTACTGGAAGCCGCAGACCGGTTAGGCATGGTGGGGGAGTGTCCCGTGGATCCGCTGCTGATGGTGTCGCTCGTGCAGCTCTTCCCGCTGGACGGAGAGGCGCTTCTACCGCCGCTGGCGACAGCAGCAGCAACACCACCACCACCACCAGGGGTAACAGCATCAACATACCCGATACCATCATCGCCTTCTGTTGATGGCGACCCAAGCCTCCCGGGGAATAGCCTAGAACATGTTAGCGGTAGCAGTAGCAGTAGGAGTAGCAGTACTCGAAGTAGTAGTGCATGTGGTGGGAGTGGTGGTGGTGTTAGCGATGGGGGGAGCAAAGGCAACAAGAAAACCAGTGAAGGTACTGACACTGTAAGTGGTGGCAGAATTGACAGAGATAGCAGTCGGAATTGCAGCAGTGCCCGTACGGGGTTGCCGTCGACCTCCCTTTCTCAGCAGCAATCTCACCGGCCCAGAGGGACCGATTCGTCGGAGGTGGATGGAGGGGTAAGTGGCCCTATTCCCGCCGAAACCGCGACGACCTCGCCTGCAGCCAATTGGGGAGTGGTAGCCGCTTCGGATATGGTATTTGCGACGGATTGGCCTCCCCCCGGGAGCACGGCCCTGACGGAGGAGCCGGTAAGCCTCTGCCCTGTTTGTAACGCGCGGCGGACGACCGTATAGAGAGCCTGACTTTAGGATGATTTCCAAGGCAGCGCTGATGGCGTGCGTAGTATCGCGGGAAATTGAATCGAACTGCCGCATCTGACAAAAGTGCAAATGGGAGTCTAATATCAGCTACGCAGAGTGTTTTGATGGGCGGGGAAACGTGCTCTACCATCTAGGCGCCAAAGGTTCGCAAGGTCTTACCTTCGACGTCCTCTTCGTCGTTTTTTTGAAGCTATGCGGAATGTTTCCCCACCCATGACGTCGTGTTGAAAAACTTGCATTGTTACAGGTGATGTACATCGGGCCCGACAGCATCGGCCTCGTGCAGCACGTGCCTCCGAAGAGTCGCCGTGGGCAAGGCGAGATGCCCGAAAGTGCGACGGTGGTTCCGCCGCAGGCACGGAGCGGGGGAGAGGACGGAAAAGGCTTGGACAGACAGTGTGTGGGCGGAGAAAGCGGAGGCCAGCGGCGGCGGCATCGGGCGCCCGAAGAGATACTAGACCTGTGCAGCGGGTCGGGGGTGCAGGGGATCGCAGCGGCGGTACTGCGACGGGGAGAGGCGTCCGTTACCTGCGTGGACATCAACCCGAGGGCGGTCAGGTTCTCGCGGTTCAACGCGCTGCTGAACGGTCTGGATACCGGGGGTGGGGAACAGGAAGGGGGACGCTTCCGCGCCGTCGTTGGAGACCTCTACGGCGCCCTCGACTCAACGGTTGGCGATCGTGTTTCCGCGGATAGTGCGGGCGGTTTCCCCGACGCTGACGATGACAACGACCTCAACGGAAGTGAAAGCGGCGGGCATCAACCCAGCCCCGGCGACGGCACTAGTGGCGCCACTCCGACGACAAGGACTCCCGCCTCCTCCTCGTCCTCCTCCCTGTACGACCTCATACTCGCCAACCCCCCATTCGTGCCGGTGCCCCCAAGGCTCGCCTCGGCACGACGGCGGTACGACGTGTTCGCCTCCGGCGGCAGCAACGGCGAGGAGGTGATCGAGGGGATATTCCGTGGGGCCTTCGACCGCCTCCGGCCCGGGAGCGGGCTCCTGGCGATGGTTACCGAGCTGGCGAACCCTAGAGCGTTCGACGCCAAGCTTCGGCGCTGGATTGGGGGCGAGGAGGAGGAGGGGAGAGAAAGTACAAGAGGCGACCAGTGCGGTGGTGGTCAGGAATCGATTGAGAGGACAGCGAGAGAGGAAGGGGCGGCAGGCGGCGGGGGCCGTGAGGGGAGAAGAGAGACCGACGACGTCGGGGGCCATGAAAACGACATCCAGATGTCTGTCCGGCCTCATGTCGAATCACAAGAATGTAAAACGGAAACCAGCAGCCGCCACAGCAGCCGCGACAACAGCAACAGCAGCAGCGGCAGCAGCCCCCCTGAGCAACGACGCGGCGACGTCGACGGCAACAAGCGCGGAACCGGCAGCGGCGGCGTCGACCCCGGCGCGCCGAGGGCGTGGGCGGGCACGGTGTTCCACGAGCGGCAGCCGTGGACGGCGAGGGAGTACGCCGAGAGGAGGGCCGGCAGCCCTCGCGAGGCGGAGGGGTGGGAACGGCACCTCAGGGGGGAGGGCATCGAGGAGATGGCGGCCGGCTTCGTATTTGTCCGTCGCGGGGGCGGGCGTAGGCGGCCTCTAGCACCTGAAGGCTCTTCGCATGCCGAGGGCACTCCTTTCGAGGCGGCGGAAGGTGGGGGGATGGGTCCACCCGGGGAATGGCAAGGTCGTGGTGGAGTCTCATCCTGTGCTGGGGTTGGTGAGGGTGCCGTCGAGATTCAGGGGGTTGAAAAGCTGTGGGCGCCGCACAACATAGCTGCGGTGCAACACACGAAAGCTGCTTTGACGAGGCTGCAGAACGTAGATCGATGAGCGGTATGTCGTGGAGATTTTTTTTTCTATATATGTTGGCGAACGGTTGAAGGGCGGATTTCCCTCTGAGAGAGGCGTACGGGGTGATAAGTATGCAGGCGTTGGGTTTGACGAGGTTTTCAGCGTGCACAAGGAAACTAGTCTCTCGCGAAAGTGCCGGGAGCCAAGCGAAGGGCTTAGAGCGGCGTTAGTTCTGGCGTTCGCATTTTAAGGTGTTGCTTTGCGACATTATGCGTCGCGACGGAAGCGTGTTGCTGTTAGTGCGTGGGCTACCGCCGAAACCCCAAAAAAAACACGCGAGAAACCTACCTTTGTCAACCTGGTAGTTGTATATTTTGTGTGTTGATTGTATATGCATTTTCTCATGTTCATTGTCGTCATTCGGCTGTGCGGTAGCAGGATAAAACCATGAATACTCCAGGCAGATTTGTCTGCCCTACACGCGCCCAAGATGGCCTCAGTCTTGAAGGCATGACGCAGCCGTCTCGACGATGAAGAACAATGAAGATACAGTCCAGCTCGACAATACCGGACTTCAGGATTTCACGTTCTGCACAAGGATAGATTCGAAATCACCACGTGTTCCCCCTGCAGGTAGATGATGTCAACTGTCAACTCCGTCTGCGCATGTTTCAACATTCAAGACCTGCTAATAGTGCGAGTGTAGGCACCCAAGCTCTAAGAACACCCGACATCTATCGTAGGCAAACAACACTGCAAAAGGCTGAACAATGGTCACTTGAGACCAATATACCAAAAATAGTTGAGATGGGGGTCATGAGGCACACGAAGCCCGCAGCAGCGAACAAGTAATTTTGGGTGTAAGGTGTGGTTCATGTCTCTGTTTCGGGTCACCCTGAAGTAATTCCCATAGACTGACATGGATCTAGGTGGAGATGTGAGAAAGCAAATATCGTTTCAGTGTCTATGACAGCACTGACCCGAATGTCCACACTTGAACCAGAGAAGATGGAAGTACCACACTTCACCGCTGGGCCAGACCACACCAAACCAAAGCATACGCCCGGGGAGAGTGAGCCCTGCGATTCCCCACAAACCATATTATTGCAGCGTTGTTCACGGAGCGTTTTTTTTCCACGGAGCGGAATGGAGTGAGATTTTCCCTTGAGGAAAAACAGTTCCGCTACGCTCCGCTCCGTGATACATACAAAAAAGCCACTCCGTTGCTCCGTTCTGCGAGAATTTTGTCCTCGGATACCCGCTCCGGTACGTGGGGATTCCGAAAAATCCGATTGTTTTTTTCACGCAGCGGTTTGAGCTACTCCGTCACACAACCGCGGATAAACCGCAATATAATACACTCACACGGCTTTCCCACGGAGCCACTGTTGTTTTCCGACGGAGGCAAGGTATTTTGAGTTGGGAAGGCTAAAGCTGCATCGGTCCAAACCACTCGCGCGGGAGAGCAAGTGATGTTGTCGAGGTCGAATAAGCCTGAGTGAAATAGCGGCGTATTCGGCTGAATACATGAGACGCGTGGTGTTACCCAAGTGCCAGCACTGGCAAGTTTCAACGAGAGGTAAATGAGGAATTTTCTGCTGTTGTACGGGTTGCAGGGACGTATGAGCCGAGGAGGTATCTTACAAGAACAATAGATTATGTGATTCACAGCTTTTTGGGCTGGTTGGGTTGTCCTGGCGGCGAGGCGGCGTACGGTGTTACCGGCAAGCCTCCAGGCACCACACACCGTGCGGAAAAGATCGGTTTTCGGTGTACCAAATCCATCGTTTTTCTCGAAATTGCATTAGCCCGTCGGTTTGTACGGACATCCGTGTGGTTTCGACGTATTTTTTTCTGACGGTGCACCGTCCTCAAGGCCACGGCTTCGTGCGGTTTATGTTACGGAGTAAGCAAAACAGCTCCGTGAGCAACACGTACTACGGAAAAAACCGCTCCGGTCCGCGAGAATTTTGCCCTCGGATGAGCCGCACCGCACCACCGTGGTATTTTCAAACAAAAAAAAAGCTCCGCTCCGCTCCATATGGAACACAATAGAATAAAAAAACGCTCCGCGGAGCGGTTCTACTTCATGAACAACCCTGATTTGGCAGCCGGTTGGCTCACCAGAGACGCTGTCCGGTGTCATCTCCGCAGTCACACGGTTTCGGCTGCATCTGAAATTGCATGGGCAGCATCCAGCCAATCTTCTTCGGCAATGCCATCTTCACCCGTATCCTCTGGCTTCCCATCCCGCTCACTACTCTCTGGCAACCCCAACAAAGATGGCTCGGGCGTGGTGACACCCCTGGCAACACCCACGGAGTGAAACCCTGCCCCAGATTGACCGACTGCATGATTTGAGGATGTCGGTGAAGTAGTGGGTGGTGCTGAAGGCGTCAGAAGGGGACCGATATCACTCTCAGCCCCACTGTTAGTAGGCCACACGGGGGCAGTCCCGATGATTTTTCCAGGAATGCTGCTGAAAGCCGGCAGTATCTCACGCTGGGTGTGTCCGTGGCCATGAAGAGCATCCTCGTCTATACCCCTGCCAGTGGCCGTTGTTCCAAAGTCGGCGTGGATGTCGTCGACGGGTGGCTCCAAGGAGGGTCTCATGTGCCCGCAGGGGACGAGCCCCTCGAAGGATCTGCCAAGCGCGTGACCAGTGCCCGAAAACGGGGTCACATGGAGGGAGTGACTGCTGAAAACTGTTCACACAGTACATAGTCCACGGTGTGCCGTGTCCTTCACGTCACCGTAGGCATGAGGAAGAAACCTTCGTAGTCAAAGCCTTACTCTACCGCGCCCTGGCAAGCCCTGGTGTATTTTACCCGCTCGGCACCGGCGTACCACATGATCTGCATGGGACTCTGATCTTGCAAACATTCATACCTGCAGAGTGTTGCATCGCAGAAAGCGCCCACTCCGCGCCACTCCACGAAGGGGGGCACGGGCTGGGAGCCAGGAGGACGAAAACAGTTCGAAATCACCCGTAACCTGTCGTACATCGCTTGGTCGGTCGAGTCGTCGGAGGCTGCGAGACATATCAGCAACACGTGTGTAATGTGGCACCTTTTGGACACGTCCGCAGATGAGGGGCGAGGAGAAAAGGGGTCATCATGAAAGACGCGTCGACTCGATGGAAACCACCGAAAGATGGGAAGACGTCACGTTCTTTGCGAGCAGGATGGCGGGGACAAATGCATGTACGTAAAATAGAAAATAGTAAATGAATAGTCGAGGGGCGATCACGGCTTCCGTGAGAGCTAAGAAGAACCCTCGCGTCGACTGAAACCGTCCATCCATAAAAAAAATACTGGAGAATCAGTGACAAAAGTGACCTATGCTGTGAAACTACCCCGAAAGCGAGGTTGAAAACCTGTGTTTGGTGTACTCGTTCGTACTTCCAATCTGCGGTCAAATGGTGTGCTATACTACTACAGAGGTAAATAAGTCCGAGCCCCTCGTTGCTCCGAGTATCGTTCACTCAGAAAATCAGGGCGTGGCTTGAGTGAGTGCGGTCTTGTATCCTGATCTCGCCGCCCGAGCGTATTACGGGGCCCACCTAACATCCTCTGCAATTCATAGACGTGGCACTGAGTGAATGATTTCACCCTTGCAACGAGCGGTATGTGTCCAAGGGCGACGGCAGTGCGAAGGAGAGCGGACGTTCCCCAGGCCACGCAGAAACACTACTGCCATCACCGCCTACTCCGCAAGCCTCAAGGATCTCGCAAACGACTCACCCGATCATGCAGCGCCACAAGCCAGGATATCGCTCAAGCACTTCAATGCAGCGGCCGATGCTCTCCCGTGCGGCATGAAGATCGCCCTTTGCCGCCGACCGCATGATATAGGGTCTATTGGATGGAGGGGGGTAGTGGGGGCGATCCAGCAGTGTTGGAGAAAAGCCTGCCGGGCTGGAGCGAGAGCAATTCTTTTCCGAATGAGAGTACCAGGCGCCAGCGCCATCATTCTGCAGGTGTGGTCAATATGCCAAGCGTAGGGATCGCTGAATGTGAGGGTACAAGATGGGGTGGCGTCCCAGGCCGATGTTGGGTTCTTGGACACACGACTCTGCACCAAATAACGAGTGCAGGAAGTAGTTATGGTAAACGGCCACGACAAAGGAATGGCTGGGGGTGGGATTCACATGTGCTCATGGTGTCAGAGGGGCGAAAACATCCATGTCCTCAACACGTCCGCCCCAGCTCACCCGTTGATGAAAAGTACGCCGATTCCCCCTCGAATGCTTGGTCTTCTCAGCGAAGAGACCGCACCCCAGTTCGACGTCCGGGTCGAGTGCGATTGAGATGCATACCAACGGTCGTACGGAAATGTGAGAGTCCGTCGAAGTGGGAAGTAGACATGAGATTTCGATCCGAGCCTCGTGATGATGCTGGTTGGCGTTGCAGCCACCCGTTGTTGAAGTTAGCGAGAAATAGCTGGTGCCTCGATAAATTCTTGATATGTCAGATCAGCTTCACCATAGATATATATGCCTCCCTATGTACCATGGTGCCAAACGATCACGGGTGTGCTCGCCTGCTTTTGCAACGTGAATGTCCACTCACAGATCCACGGCTTCTTGAAGAGGTTCTAAATGGACGACACCGCCATCGTCCAACAACGCCCGCATAGCCTTGGAGATATCGCCAGCCACAAAGTCTTCCAGGGAAGAGTTCACCCCGCCTGGCCTGCCATGAGGCTCAGAGTCGCACAGGCCGTTGCCGCCACTCGCGCTCTGCTCGGTCGCTGTCGAGTAGATCGCCTTCTCAAACGCTGAGCGAGATTGAGAGACGTATCGATAGAGCTCGGCTTCGGTAGCAACCTCGTTTAACTGGGGGCGCCGTGACAACAAGAGTGGAGGGGCAGGGTAGGTGCAACAATAAGATGTTGAGTGATGTCGAATCAGTTTACAACCATTCTCATCGTTCGGCTCTGCGTACTCAAGGCCTGTTTCCACGAAGTAAAACGAAGCTGCCGGTGGGCGGAGAATCTGTGTCCCCTGGAATATACGCGAGAGCCCAGCTGATCATACT